TTCTCTCTCTTCACGCGCTTCTGTCTTCCCTCTGTCTCACTCTTTTTTTCTCTCTCCATCGCTCTCTATTCTCTCTCTTTCTCTCTCTTTCTTTCACGCTCTCGCTAATATTATATAATATATAATATAATATATATATATAATATATATGCGGGTGTGTGCTGTGTGTGTGTGTGTGTGTGCTTCCTTCTATCATCTCTTCGTCTGTTCGGGCTCCTAGGAAGTAGCAACACAATCACAGACCACCAGGAATTTGGTCATTGTTTCGAAAAACCGATGCATAACGAGAATCTAGAACGCATGTCGAAGTATTGCCGTGATCTCCATTTGTTGTACACAGCCTTGCTAATCCGTAAGACAAAAATTCACAGTGCACCCCACGCCACTAAAATGTTAAATGCTCGCGGACAATACTTTCTTCCACGCCTTGAGTTTATGAGCTTCTGTTGTTTAAAACAACAAATTCTACTCAAACTAACCGGTGTGCTTTAGAAAAATACAACTCCAGCATTAGCGTAGGCAGTGACGGGCCCGTGCATCTATCTATCCCCGCACTAAAGTCTTAGAGGGTGCTTTTAATAAACAAACCCCCCACTTGCGTAGACTGAATGAAAATGTCTTATCAATCCGCCTCAACTAAAAGCGTCTTAGCAGGGGATGGTTTAATCACAAACTGCCCACCGCCCCCGTCACTAAAAGCACTACCACGATGGCTAGTATAAAGACGCTGCCTGCAGCCATCAATGGACGTTCGTAGTGTTGTTAATAAAAACACCACCATGCTCCCCGTGTTATCCAGAGTCCCAGACCCATTGGGGACCTCGTTTTATAAACGCGACAGCAGATATAGAATCGCCCGGGTAGTAGCTAGATGCAGGGTTCTCATCGAAGGACACCTCGATGCCGGCCGTTATTATAGCTGTGCCCCCTCTCTCTGCGAACAGATACCTTCATCGTTTATCGGAGAGCATGCGGGCCGAAAAGCCGATCCACCGTCGACTAACGACGTTCCGTTGCAGTCCTGCATGACCCCCGCTCGCCAAAACGATGGTCTTTGCTGTCCTGCTTACAATGCGCCCCCAGTCGCTGTCCTCCCCCCCCCCCGACACTCTGCGTGCAGGGCAAGGTCTAACAGCCTTTACCAGGGGAATTTATTATATGGGACATTCAAAATTTGGTAGATGAGTCTTGCTATTATTCCCGCATAATTGTATTTCACCCTTACATTGTCATTTGTGACTCGATAACGGTAATTTTCTAAAATTATGAAAACTATTATGTATATTAATATATATATTATATATATATATATATATATATATATATGCACGAGGGAAACAGTAGAAAAGACTAAACATGCAATTGAGGAAATTGCTGATTTTGTTCTGTTATATTCCCGGCTGCAATCACCCTATCTCTTTAGTGTCACCTTTCCATCCTGTCGCATTATATAATCTAAACTTAGATTACATCTTTTTAATTTTCGCTTGCATTCTTTTCTTCTCTTGCCCCTCCCCCCCCTCTCCGTCTCCACTAGCGAAAGCGCCCTCATCAGCGACGCTTGAGTGCGGCGCATTGCGATTGCCATAACACAACTGTAAACGATCGTAGAATAGCGGCATAAGATACGATGCACAATACCGCACAGTGAGCTGAGCCGCCCCCGTGTCAGACTAGTTCTTCGGAAGTTTAACAGGTCAAAAAATTTAATAAGTTCAACAACAGCTTTTCAAATCTAGGCAGCTTCGGCCACGCCGCTAAGAGGGCATACGATCTAGCCGTAACGAGGTGATGGGTCCACCCCGCAGTGTGTTATTCTAACCAGATTTTAAATAGAATGAACGTAAGTTTGACGTCGTGAATCTCCTGGTTGAGGTCTACATATATGCCATGCCTTCTCTCTTCTTGGGGTATACATATACGCTATGCCTTCTCTCTTCTTCAGGTCTACATATACGTTATGCCTTCTCTCTTTTTGAGGTCTACATATATGCCATGCCTTCTCTCTTCTTGACGTCCACATATACGCCATGCATTTTCTCTTCTTCAGGTCTACATCTATGCAATGCCTTCTCTCTTCTTGAGGTATATATATATATGCCATACCTTCTCTCTTCTTAATGTTTACATATATGCCATGCCTTCTTTCCTCTTGAGGTCTACATATACGCTATGCCTTCTCTCTTTTTGAGTTCTACATATATGCCATGCCTTCTCTCTTTTTGATGTCTACCTATACGCCATACCTTCTCTCTTCTTGAGGTCTACATATATGCCATGCCTTCTCTCTTCTTGAGGTATACATAATTATACGCTATGCCTTCTCTCTTCTTGAGGTCTATATATATGCCATACATTCTCTCTTCTTAAGGTCTACATATACGCTATGCCTTCTCTCTTCTTAATGTCTACATATATGCCATGCCTTCTCTATTCTTGAGGTCTACATGTTCGCCATGCCTTCTCTCTTCTTGATGTCTACATATACGCCATGCCTTCTCTCTTCTTGACGTCTACATATACGCCATGCCTTCTCTCTTCTTGAGGTTTACATATACGCCATGCCTTCTCTCTTCTTGAGGTATACATATACGCCATGCCTTCTCTCTTCTTGCGGTCTACATATATGCCATGCCTTCTCTCTACCATGCCTTCTCTCTTCTTGCGGTCTACATATATGCCATGCCTTCTCTCTTCTTGAGGTATACATATATGCCATGCCTTCTCTCTTCTTGCGGTCTACATATATGCCATGCCTTCTCTCTTCTTGCGGTCTAAATATACGCAACGGTTTTCCTTTCTCGGTGGGAACGCAACTTTCTGTTTTCCCGTGAACAAATATATTCATACGCACTCACACCTGTGTTATATTATGTTCATATATGCCTAGGATTTTTCCCATTACTCACTCGAAGTACCGGCTAAACGGTCGCTCTTATACTGTTTATAAATCACGCCCGTTCGCATCGGTTATGACGGCAGAGCTTTTCTACTCTCGTCTGCACGGCAGCTGTACTCACGCGAGCAAGCTATAATCAGCGCGACAAGTCAAGCAGACCGTTGCGCCTTTGCTTGCCCAGCCTTACCGCACCGTTGCTCCGACGCTATTGTATTCTCGGAGGGAATTGCGACGAATGTCCACCAGGGAGGTAGATTGTCCATCACAGACGAGGTTTGCAGCTGCCGGTTACCCATGCAGGCAGGCCCGTACAGTGAGCATCGGGTGGGTTGTCGGTGTCGGCATCCGTCGGGTTATGCGAGGAGCTGGCAGGTGGTCGGTCGGTTGCGGCGGTGTGTGTACGCCGCTCTCTGCAGCAGCAGCGGACATAACGTACACAGGATGCCTCTATTGTTGCTTGCAACCGTGCGTAGCAACAGCGTCAACACGTGCGCTCCCCTCCCTAAAACCCTTATAAATACCCCGCCGTGCTACGTATATAGGTACCCTCCATGCCTCGCTGCCATCCTCCACTCCCGAAAATCTTGTAAATGCCCCGCGATGCTACTAACATAGGTACCCTCCATGCCTCGCTCGCTCTCTCCCACTCTTTCTTTTTCTCCCTATCTCCCTCCCCTTATCTCTCTTCCTCTTCTTTCTCGCTCGATCGCCCTTTCTATCTCCTCCCTCCCTCCTTCCCCTTCTCTCTCGCCCTTTTTCTCTTTCTTTCCCTCCCTCCCGTCCTCCCTCCCTTCCTCTCTTTCTCGCTCAGTCACTCACTCACACACACACACACACACACACACACACACACACACACACACACACACACACACACACACACACACACACACACACACACACACACACACCACACACACACACACACACCACACACACACACACACACACACACACACACACACACACACACACACCACACACACACACACACACACACACACACACACACACACACACACACACACACACACACACACACGCACACACACACACACACACACACACACACACACACACACACGCACACAGCTTCCCAAATGCACGAACTCGGGCGCCAGCGGCAACTGCTAGCAACAACAGCTGCGCGCCTGTAACCGTCGCCGTGGCGACAACGCTCGAAACTCTTTCCCCACTGTGATAATTGTCGGTTTACGACTCGTCGCTCTGCATCCCCGCAGAATTCACGGCGGCGGCGTTCATGCACAGCTCACGGGCCAGTCGGCAGGCAGGCAGACGGCCCTCCAATTACTCACATTACTATTATACGCACAGTCGTTCGCAAGCGTGTGCGAAGCCGTGCCCGCCAACACTCTCGCTGCTTTCGTATTAAATAGTTATAGTGTAGTAATAGTTTACAATAAATATATAGTGCCAGTCAAAACATGTCGACAGGCAGTTATGACATGCCAGTAGATCACTGAGGTTTCAACGTGCGAACGTCTTGTACCAGTTTGATTGATCGCATGAGTATACGGCACCAGTTCAAAGGGATGCGGATATTTAGTACCAGTCAATATCTGCTGTCGATGGAACGGCGGCGAAAAATTGTGGTAGTCATAACGCGCAAATATATCACATATATATCACATATATCACACATATATCAAAAATATATCCCGCATATCTCACATATATGATTATATTGTGACAGTATGTGAACACATCTATCAGGGTTGAATAATGACAAAAATTGTCCCTGCATCTATATATATATCAAGAGTAGATAATAACACATGTGTTATTATCTACTCTTGATATATGTATGCAACAAGTTCAAGCCCATATATCACACCAGTTTAAATATGCGAATATCTTCTGCGCATACATTTATATATCAAAACAGTTCTAACCTTCCCATATATCACACCAGTTTACACATGAGCATCAAAACATGACTACACGACACATCGCATTAATTACAATGTGCCCACAAACCGCACCAGTTATAAAGAAACAGAGAAAAAATAATTAGAAACATTCTATATATTACCGGGAATAATAATATTAATTTAATTTAATTATATATAGATTTACTCACCGACTTTTCGCACGAGTTTTGCTCGCTTCTTCCCAAAATACGCAGAGCAGAGAAACGACATGATCGCTAAGGCTAATATCTACTGTCACAGCATCCCTCTGCGCATCACCACCATGTCCGCACACCTAACTACTGTCACAATGTCACTAGACACCGCTCGATCTGTCACCAATCCGATGCTGACAACTGGAAAGAAATCGACCAGTGGCGGTGGCATTCGCGATGACAACTTGCCGGCAGAGAAATCTCTTCGTTTGTGTGGCAATTCCAAGCGATCAGGTTCGTGCGTGGCGGTGGCATTCACGATGAAAGCTACCTGGTGCATGTATGACACCTCCCGAGGAACGCCAGCCGGCGTTTGGGCTGCGCGTGCGACACTCCAGGCAGTCAGGTTAACCTATACACCACTTGTGATGAAAAGCGACCTGACCAGTCAACAACGGCGCGCAGTACTACGGGTTTTATGTATACGACACACTCGTGATGAAGAGCCCGACCTGCCCGGGCAACACCTCGTGGGAATTCCGGTCAGGTTTGCGTACGGCGCGCTGGATAAAGGCTCACTGCGCAGGTAACAACTCCAACACGGTGCACGCCGCCGGAGCTTTATAAATAACACCAGCAGGTGCGTGGAGCCGTCAGCGGAGAATAAATACGGAGCTGCTATTGTTGCTGCTGCTGCTGCTAGCGGCGGAGGCGGTTTAGCTGCAGTATCACACGCTTCAGCGGCTCCCTGCGTTCAACGGCTGCTCTTCAAGCGAGGGGTCGCAGCATCCGCCAATCAGCTCTAGTGCGATCTATCCACTACTTTCTCTGCTGGGATGGAGAGCGAGTATAATCGTGTATCCAAAAAATTGCAGCGAGACTTAAAAAACTGCTACGTTATTGCAAGGGAGTAATCATATCTATTTACGCAATATCGGTGAAAGCATTAAAAAATATTTCAGTTTTATTATATACAGTTTATATTCGGCTTATATTCAGTATTATATTTGAGTATTATATTCAGTTTTATGACTATAATTTTATTATGTATGCACAATAGAATAAATATTATCTGCACAATAGGACATATGCTTATGTACGCGCAATAGCACCAACGTCTCGACATATAATCTGCCGATATTCAACATGTGTTATGAACATATATACATATTAGGCATCATCTCATGGTTTGCCTGGTTAGCACGGCTTTGCTGTACACGTAAAACTTGCACCTAATCGCTTAGCAGCTCTAGTTGCTTCATCAGGAATTTTAGGGGACATTGTAGTAATATTTGCAGCAAGGACTAGGTGGTTGCAGGACCAACAATGGCGGCTCCACTACCATCAACCTTGTTAGCACCCTCTGCATCGGCTTTGCGAATCTCGGTCGTAATATTCGTCAGGTCTTGAATGAATTGCTGGATCTACATGAAAACGAAATGCCAATAACAAATATTACCGTACACATTTACGCAATCGTTCATGATTATTAGAATAGCCAGTTTCTACACACCATGAAGAAACAAATGCAGCATCTAGACCATTCATTGTATGTCTTCGTAGACTACAATGGTATTGAAGGTTATTTTCTTTGGGTTTAAGTCCAATTCGCGTCTGTCTTAGAACGCACAACATAAGATGTATACTGCTCTCTGCATATCTTTCAATGTTTCCAGGTAACGGTCCGTCACGCGGACCATATTTCACTTAGTTTGTTTGCTACCATACAGGTGGCAGCACTTACCACATTCAATTGCTCCAGTGTGTCATCAACTTGGGCCTCAAACTCTTGTTTCTTGCTCTTGTTGATTAACTGATATAAATTGTGAGTTGCCCTGGAAACATAAACATTTATTTAACTACTTTCTACACCGTGAACTCCGTAAAATCTCTCTCTTCACAAAGTGACTGCCACAATGATATCACCTATTGCCACTAAATATCTCCCTCTCAGCTATATCTACTGAAAATCTTGAGTCCCATTAACAAAGGTCCCCTTAAACACAGATGCCTCACCAATGCGAACATCTTTCAACCCTCACCAAGAGCACACAATACCTGTCTGCCACATTATCTCCCCCCCCCCCAAGGGCCCCAAATCCCGCTCCCCCCGCTTTCCCCCCCCCCCCCCCCAAGTCATCTCTGTCATAGATATTATGATCACTCCTATATCCTTCTTTCTCGCTCGCTCGCTCTCGCTCTCTCTCTCTCTCTCTCTCTCTCTCCTCTCTCTCTCTCTCTCTCTCTCTCTCCCTCCTTTTCTCTCGCCCCCCCCTCTCGCTCTCTCTCTCTTTCTCTCTTTCCTTCCTTCTCTTACCCCTCTCCTCCCTCTCATTCTCTCTCCTTCTTCGCTCTCCTTCTCTCTCTCTCTCTCTCTCTCTCTTCCCCCCTCTTTCTCCCACTTACATCTTGATGCGGCCAAGCAGCAACGTTTTCTTCGCGGCCGTGTTCTTGATGTGCATCCATCGAGACTCCCATTTCACAGCTTCACTCTGCTGCCTTATTCCAGACTGGGTGACTAACTCTGCCAACTGTTGTATTTGCAGGGAGAGATCTCATTGTTTCTTTTCCTTAATGAATCACAAGCACAGACCGTGTTTCTCGTCTTTTCAGTTGTGTCTTCTTAATTACATTATATACATTATGTTTCCTCACCACCGCTCTCGTTCTTGCTCTCTCTCTCTCTCTCTCTCTCTCTCTCTCTCTCTCTCTCTCTCTCCCCTCCTCTCGTCTCTCTCTCTTTCTCTCTCTCTCTCTCTCTCTTTCTCTCTCCCTTTCTCTGTCTCCCTCACTTTTTTCCATTCTTTATCTCCCTTACTCTATGACATGTGTGAATTTTGTTTTGTTTTATTCCACCTACTTGTATGTTTCTCTTACCTCAGTGAACTTTTTCAGCTTCGCCTTTTCTTGTTCTATCATGTCCTGACTCCTACTCTCTTTGTTCAGCAAATACTGTGACAATGGAAAAGCGTCTCAATCACTCTCCATGGAAGAATATCCTCAGCTTTCACAACACGAAACTTACACGTCATTTGTATATGTCACTCAGTAATCAATACTCTAGTTCAAATCGCTCCTGGAGATAACCAATACAGATCACAAATATGGTTTAACCCTTCTCGCACACACACGTGCATTTTCGCAGCATCTCACCTGATGGGTTGCACACAGAGTGTCGTAGCGAGATATGATCTCGCGTATCTCTTGGAATTCCTCGGCCATTTCCACTGTCTTCTCGAGAAACTTGTAGAAGACAATGTGTTTGTTAAGTTTCTCCTGTAATCGCTTTCGCTCTTTCGACACTAGTTTCAGCTCCTCATTCAATCTAAAATTTTGCGAGAAAGGCGATTCAGCGATTTAGGGAGAAAACAATCATCGGTTACAACAAAGCCAAAATTCTGCTGATACGTTGGCCTAATGTAATTCTCGCATGTGCTACAGTGAATCACAGCTAGCCATCACTGACCTGGCTATCTCAGTAACCTTGACTTTTGTCATCTCTCTCTCGTCATTCGCTTTCTTAATTGCTCGATGCCTCTTCGCGTCATTTTCCTGAAACAGACTGCAATAAGACTTTATGTTGCCACATCTGCCACCCAGCGTAAGATAACGGTTGAGTTTGTAATTTCAATTTGAAGAGAACACATGTGTACAACCATGCTACATGCTTACAATTCAGCAAAAAAGAATTGTAGACGATAATATTCTAATAAAACACACATTAACAATATTTACCCTCAAGTTAATAATTTTATCATGTTCAAGAATTTATTTATTACTACAACAGTGATTCACAGAGTAAATGGTGCACACGTTAACAATGCCATAATCGCTAAATTTGATACCAACATTCAGAAACTTGTCGAATTTCTGTACAGATTGCTTCAGTAGCAGCTCTTTTTTCTCCCATTCCTCTGTGCGCTGAGTCAAGACCTCCATTTTTAACTCGTACTCCTAAAACACATCACACGTGTTAAAATGTTTAGTGTAAATATAAGGAATGCACCCATCAATATATACTGTTAGATTTGCCAGGGTAACTTTTATAGATAACTTTTTAGAAAGGATCCATGCAGTATGACATAATATGGCATGGCTTATAGAAATCGTTGTACAAGACATGTATCAACCTCTTTTTGGCTGTTGAGTGCCTCTTCAACTTCACTCATTTCCCTTCGCTTCTCCAGGAGTCGTGTTGCTGGACTAAGATGGTCATCCTCCTGCTCAGGGATTTTGCTGCAAATAGAGCAAATTAATTATGAATAGTTCCTAATGGTTGCCATATCCATGGTCCTAATGTTTTGCCATGGTCTCAGACCTATTGTTAATGTTAATGTTATGGCTATACCCAATGGGCATAAATAATACATTTAGACACTGAAAAGACTTCGGCCCAAGGATATATAATTATAAGAGCTGTCCACATTTGCGCATGTCGCACATTGCGAAAATAAATTGGGGACATGCAGCTCTTATATCCTTGAAGTTGAACCAAGACTTCTACGACACACACTGTGTCACACTGAGTCACAGTGAGTGTGTAATCTGTTAGTGTTATCTGTAATAGCAATATAATATAATATAATATAATATCACTATCACTATCAGTGTATCACTATCAGGAGTGTATAAACTATAAGTATAATAGTAATAGTGAATCAGTGTGATCTATAATCTTATTAGTGTATTATTATACTGTACTGTGTACGTACACTAGTGAGCAGTGATAATATTAGTATTAACTATTATTATTATATTAATATTATATACACTGTACTGAGCGAGTATACTGTAGTCTGTAGTCTGTACACTCAGTGCCTACACTCAGTGACTCACATTAGCAGCTTTTCTTCAAAGGTCTTTCTGAAATATTCCTCCAGATTTCCTGCCATGATGTGTGTTTATCGTTATGCTCTTAGTTCTAAAAGTAACCAATTGTGGCTTAATACTGGGTTGGTACAACCATATATATTTATAAGTACAACTACTGGTGGTACTGCCAATGGTACGTAAAGCAATAGATTTCGTAGTTATCTGATTTCTCATTTACGTTTAGCGTTCATGGCAACCGCGGAAATCCGGAAACTTGCCTAGGGTGCAGCACTGTCAAATCAAGATGGAAGCGTCCATGTCTCATGTTAAAAATGATCCTTCACAAAATGCTGCAGCAGAAAATCCCAGCAGTGGTATTAACTTGATAGAATTAATGGAGAGACTTATGGGTGATAAGAAATATAGGTAACTAGCGTTATGACATAATATGGTCGCATAACAGCGTTTTCGTCCGTAATGTGCAGTGTGTGTAGTTTGACATCGGTAGACCCTAATACTATACTACTACTACTACTACTAGTACTAGTATTACTAGTAGTAATATTAATATTAAACGCACTTTTACGCAGTGGCTGGAGGTACGGCAACCGTATCCTAATGTCTCGGGGCTACGGTTACGGCAGTCCATTTGCGCATGCGTCACTTTCCCACACCGTAGATTATTTGTGGTATTATGATTGACACGCGTATATAAGATAACCGAGTCGGTTTAGATTTAGTGATACTGTTACTGTTAGGGTTCGGGTTGGGTTATGGTTAGGGTTACTGGATAGGGTGACTGTTGTGTGTGGGACTGCCGTACCCGTAGCCTCGAGACATTATAAGATACGGCTGCAGCGCATGCGTAGTAAGATACGGCTGCTGTACCCGTAGCCGGCACCCTAACCCTAAGTCTAACCCTAACCCTCGTTTTTACTTGAGAAATCACCGAAAATTAAAAACTGCCGGGCATTTAGGAAATCGAAGACCGAAGGTCTAAAAGGCAGCCGTCGGATATTTTCTAAGTGTCGATTGCGAGTTCGTTCGCTCAGTGATCCGAAGCTAGGAGAATTGGGCTAGTTCGAATATACAGTTTGCTTGATATTTCTAAACAAATGTAGAATACTTTGGATCACGTAGTACACTGTTTACTTGAGAAATCACCGAAAATTTAAAACTGCCGGGCATTTAGGAAATCGAAGACCGTGCCCGGCTGCCGGGCATATAGCCACTTCGAATATTAAATAGTTACAAAGAACAGTATCAGTAATGCATCGAAAGACCGTCTCGAACTCTTGCTATGCAAAATCTTATAGTTGGCTTACTTTCCAAACAACACCTCAGCTACTGTAACACAAATAGGTCAAATTAATAAACGTCGGTCTTGTTTGGAGTAGCTGGGATTTGATGTGCTGGGGCCCGTTGTCAGAAACAAAATTAGTCTTAACATTAACTTCCACTCGTTAACCATTGACAGAATATCGTAATGTTACGAGAACGAAAAGTCCTTGCAAATATCCTCTTAACATTACGAGAGCCCAGACCCTCTCGTAACTTTAATATTAAGTTGAAAATAACACATTTACACTAAGAATTACAATTATAAATTATAGTGATATTATATTTTATAATAATGACTAAAATGTGTGTTTTTTAGCTCATCTGACATAGTCAGATGCAGCTTGTAGAATCGCATGATGCGCTGCTCGTCCCGTCCGTCCTCGTGCGTCCGTCAACAGTTGGGCACAAATCTAAACGGCTCGACGTACGGATTCGAAGGTCGGGACGTGGGGGGTAATCCGAAAACGAGTTGGGATGTCGAAGCTGGGGGTCAAAGGTCAAAGGTCAAGAGGTGTAAAAGAAGGGGAACATTCCCTCCTTAACTTAAGGTATAGGGAGGAAATGCAGAATTGCGGCACAAATCTAAACGGCTTGACCTAGGCTCGTGATAGTCCGTGTATAGCATCATGGTAGGAAAAGCCATCACTGTGCCGAAATTGGAGGTCACAGGTCAAAGGTCAATGGGGCACAGGGCAGATTTTAGACATTTTCTGAGGACATGGTGTGACGGAGCGATTGGAAAACTTTTTTGTTTCAGCGGTGACCTAGCATTTTTATGGCTTTATTGAAAGGACCATGAAATGTGCTTTCCACTGACGTGCGAAGAGTAAGTGTCTGTATAACCTTTTGACCCTCAGAGGAGGGATTTAAACATGGATTTGTTAACTGTTACTGTGTTAGAAAGAATTTGACTGCTGGGTTTGCTAGTAGAATCTATACATGCCTGGATGTATGAGGCTACAATGTCACAGTGAAATTTCAAAAGCTAAATTTGCTTGAAGAAGGTTTATGCTCCTTAAATCGTATAATTTCTATGGCATTCTGTACTGTCAGTGTGTTAATATGCCACTGCCAGTGGCCACTGCCAGTGCATGTGGTGGTGATAGTATGGTGTATTTTTTGCCTACGTTAATTAGGTACAGGTGGCAGCTCTCTATTTCAGCCTGTAGGCTTGTGTAGGTAAATGGACGAGTGCTTACCTATTCTGTCTTGCAAATAGTTGTTTACTATACTACGTACGATGGAACTTCCAGCTACCAACGTACGCGCCATCGTGGCAACTTTCAAAACGATCCCAACGAACATTTCTTCGAGAGGCTCCTGATACCATCCCAGTGTTTGAAATAAGGGCTATCCGTTTGTTCGTACTTGTCCATTTCCACGGAGGACAAGTAGATCTGTCAGGTAGCTTGTCTGCTGGACAAGCAGCTTTTTAGAGCAATTTTTCATAATTTTCTACCATCGCTGGCCGCTGCTGGGAAACCCGAGTTAACATAGTATAAACATGGGCTGCCGGAGTGCCACCCGAATTAACATATACTATAGTATTAAAATTTATGTGAAGTTATATAAAAACGTTACCGCCTTGCTAGCTCCACGAAACGGTCTTGCTAGGGTTAGAAGACCATCAGACAATCAGTCTGATAGACAATCAGACATCTGTATAGACAATCAGTCGTACAGCCTCCGTCCGGCAGCGCTACCGCCTCGAGAAAGAGAGAAATTGAGAGAGAGGGAGAGAGAGAGCGAGGGGAAGAGAGTGAGAGAGAGAGAGCGCGAGAGAGAGGAAGAGAGAGAGAGAGAGAGGGGAGAGGAAGAAGAGAGAGAGAGAGAGAGAGGAGAGAGAGAGAGAGAAGAGAGAGAGAGAGAGAGGGAGGAGAGAGAGAGAGAGAGGAGGAAGAGAGAGAAAAGAGAGAGAGAGAGAGAAGAGAGAGGAGAGATGAGAGAGAGAGAGAGGACGAGAGAGAGGAGAGAGAGAGAGAGAGATGAGAGAGAGGAGTGAGGGAGAGAGAGAGCGTGAAGGGAAGAGAGCAAAAGAGAGAGAGAGAGAGAGAGAGAGAGAGAGAGAGAGAGAGCGCAAAGGGAAGAGATAGCAAGAGCGAGAGAGAAAGAATGAGAGACAACGAGGGAGAGCGAACGCGGCGATGGGAGGGTGCTCTTGATTCGTTTGCCCCTGAGTTTAGCATCAGAACACCTGCCGTCAGGTGAGCGCTGTCGCTCTGCGGCACTTGTCTTGAAAAACACGTCAAAATCAGTAATTATCTACCGCTAATAAAACAAAATACATTTACAAATGGCGTATGGCATTTGTTGTCTTGTTTTAAATGTTTATCATGCTTGCCACAACTCTCGCGTCTCGCATTACAGTGTGAGAATTTGTCTTGTTGTGCAGAGTAAATTCATGACCACGTCATTTTTCATCAAATATCATTTATATGTGGTTAGCCATCATAATATGCATAAATTACTGTGATGTACAATAAATGTGTATGAATTTGAATTTTGTGATCGATTCTCATCCAATCAGCAGCCTTGTGATAAAGTTCCTGTTATCGTAAGTTTTCTAATAGCTGCGATGTGTTTCTGTCAACGCTACTCACGTAACATTAACATTAGTGGTAAGTGTTATCTTAGCATTAACATTAGCATTAACTTTACGATGTTTCTGACAACGGGCCCCTGATCTTGGCAAAGTGAGTGACAACACCACAAGTCAATGCTGCTATTTGTGCCCAGCTCAGTTCCACTATGTTTAGAAATCAACTGGCATATTTTAAGACAAGGCAGCACAGTGCGTCTTATGACACAACTAGCGTTTAATGATAATAGATTTAATGAAAATATGTGTTTTTGTTTTTACATTGCGTTTCTAGTTCTGGAATGATAATCATGCCCAATGCAGGACTTCCACACAGATTAAAGACCAGGGAGGAGTTGTTAATAGAGAACACGATGGAAAGTTGCACATTTAAAACTGTCATCAGCTGTGTGTTAGGTATACATATCAATTAATCATTACGGGCCTAGCAAGAATAAAAGGGGTTTGTGTGAGAAATTATAATTATTCAGTTAGATCAGAATTCTAACCAATTTACTATTTAGCCATTTCCCATTTACATTGTACTATTTATGACTAACCATTACATTTCTAATTTTGAAAGTGTCATTGTGCGTTTCAGGTTTTGGCCTAGGTGGTGCGTTCGGCTTGTTCACAGCTGGTCTTGACCCTAGTATCACAGGCGCTGATGCCAGACAGCAGACAGCCAAGGAAGTTGTTCAGGAGATGGGCAAGAGAGGAATGTCATATGCGAAGAACTTTGCTGTCATTGGCGCAATGTTTGCTGGCACAGAATGCGTCCTGGAAAGTGTAAGCGTTGCTGCAAATCATATAGTCCGATATGTCATAGTCACAATCCAATATCATAGTTATCCCTTGGACTTTTAAAGCCCCAATTTTCTAATGGGTTATATATCCGCTTCTGTCATTTTTCCTCATGGTAATATGTTCTTACAGCATAGAGGAAAGACTGACTGGAAGAATGGAACTCTAGCTGGAGGAATCACAGGAGGAGTAATCGGATTACGTGGTGCGTAGCCACAACATTTCATTCCCTCTATGCTCACTATTAGTTAATTTTCTAATATGCTAACCAGGGGCCCGTTGTCAGAAACAAAATTTGTCTTAACATTAGTCTTAACACTAACATTTTCACGTAGACTGTCGACAGCACTTTGTTTCGTATTGTTACGAGGAAATCTGCTACGATTTTTCATTCAGGTAACTTCGCAGCGTTTCTGACGACGGTCTAAGAGAAAAAGTTAATGTTAAGACTAATTTTGTTTCTGACAACGGGCCCCAGGATTCAGGAATTTTGTTAAAAATCACGTGATATGTTTGCTAAAGAGGTGTGTTGCATGAGTGCAGTTTAATACCAAAACTTCTTTCCCACTTTCCCATGCTCCCTTTCTTATATTAGAGAAGAGTGCTTCTGTATGCATTTATATAGGTTCTAGGGTAGAAATTCTGCGGCATTACGATTGTAAAAATTGTTATAGGATTGATCATAAGATATCGTTAGTACTTAAGATATATTATGTGTGGAACATTGGCAAATAGTGGTTTTGAGCTGGAAATGCCTTAATTTTATTGCATGATATTGTGTGATATTGATGTAACATGCAGTAAGAATGTTGCAAACGTACTGGTAAACATTGCAGCTGGAGTGAAGCCAGGATTGCTGGGAGCTGCTGGATTTGCTGTTTTCTCCACCGTCATTGACTACTTCCTTCGGTAGCAGCTGTGGTGGAAGAAGCTGAGCTATATGTAGCATCATCCATCTGTACATTTAGGTAATTAAATTCGCTGTGTAGTTGGTGCGATGGACGGCAAGTCTGTAGTGAATTTAATAGCGTGTGAAAAACTGCGATGAAACAAAATGTAAGATTGTAAGTAAATAAATTGTGTCGTTTTATGGTTTACAGAATTTGCTTTATAGCTGTTTAACATTGAAGTACATCACTATTGAAAGTGTGCATGCATTTCCTGCACAGTAATCTAACACAACAATGGTTCTGTTGAAGCCAGTAATATTTATATAATATACATGAATAAGTGCTCTTCTATCCTGTATATAAATTCCTACAAAAACAGCAGTTAGATAAGAGCACAATAAATACCAAACTAATAGTAATTACACCATTTATATATATATATACTATATTGCTTTTGTACAGTGCTCAATAAATAAACATTAAGTTGAATACAAACGTGCTCAAATAATTCGCTCACAATCACATTCATACTCCACTTGTTGTTTAAACAACTATTAAAAAATCCTCATAGGTACAATTTGGCATTTATTTTTGCTTTGGTTAATAGTTGCTTTAACTGAAATGATGTCACTTTCCTTGTCTACGTACACGTTCTTAAACCATCAAGATTTGCTAAACAATGAATTTAAAGGTTTGCAGTACGTTTATGAAATGCTTGCCATTATTCATATTTAACAAACTATGTGGCTACAAAAACGTACAAGTGGCTACTCGTGCAATGTGTAATTAATAGCACTTGGTTCTAGAAGCAGACTGACGTTTGGTTTCAAGCATGGCACACTGCAAAAGTCCCGTAAATCCATCTGTTGATTTTTGCATCGTATCTTATTTGTTTGTGTCTATAGCTCAGGATCGTTACCGTTATTAACAATTTTTCAATCATAAAGTCGATAATCGTGCTCTCGGATATTGTTATTCTCTTACACTAGGTGGCAGCACTATACACTAAGTGTGAAGTCAGGTGGCGGGATGACTGCACTGATCTCTGTATACTAACTTAAGTATATAAAGATCAGCGGATGGCTCGTGTGAGTCTCTTCGTCGTGTTATAGTTCGTCAAGGCCCAGGATCCCGTCTCCATCTGCATCTGCGCAAACGGCAGTTAGATGCGATATGATATGACTACTAGGCACTTTAATTTAATTTAATTTTTTTTTTGTTAGGGTTAGGGTTTAGGTTAGGTTAGGGTTAGGGTTAGGGTTTTTTTTTTTAAGTGCCTAGTAGTCATATCCTAAGTGCCTAGTAGTCATATCATATCGCATCTAACAGCCGGGTGCGCATCTGCACCTTACTCGGCAGTAGCTGGATGTAAGAACAGTACTAATGTTTGGTTCCCGGTGCGGGAGTGGCCCTCTGCGTCTTCTTGTAGTTGCTGTCGAGTAACGATGAGTGGCGCTTGGCGTAGATGTCGCAGAAACGATACGCTGAAAGCGGTGAGAGAGGGAAATTAGCGCAAATTAGAGGACGCCAGATGTAAGCGACGGAAAAATGACATGAATTTACATCCGTCTGCGTCACGCACCACGTGATTGATGCGCCTTGCGTGTGTCCTGTTCGCGTTTGAGTTAAATCGGATTAACACCACCCGGCAAAGACTGTTGTGCGTGTACGTGTGCGTGCATGCGTGCGTGCGTGCGTGTGTGTGCATGCGTGCGTACGTGTGTGTGCGTGCGTGCGTGTGTGTGTGTGTGTGCTGTGTGTGTGTGTGTGCGCGTCTGTGTATGTCCGTGCGTGCGTGTGAGTCTGTCTCTGCCTCTCTCTCTCTCTCTCTCTCTCTCTCTCTCTCTCTCTCTCTCTCTCTCCCTCTCTCGCTCTCTCTCTCTCTCTCTCTCTCTCTCTCTCTCTCTCTCTCTCTCTCTCTCTCTCTCTCTCTCTCTCGCTCTCTCTCTCTCTCTCTCTCTCGCTCTCTCTCTCTCTCTCTCTCTCACTCTCTCTCGCTCTCTCTCTCTCTCTCTCTCTCTCGCTCTCTCGCTCTATCCATCTCTCTCTCTGCGTGCGTGCGTGCGTGCGTGCGTGCGTGCGTGCGTGTTACTCACGATAGTGGGCGCGTATTCGCTTGATGTCTTCGTGCCTCAGGTGACGTATGCTGGATCGCTCGAAGCCTAGGTAGCCGTACATGACCGACGACTCCTTGTTGGAGTGCGTCAGCCCGAAGATGTGTCCGATTTCGTGCATGATGACGTAGTAGAGTAGCTGTCCTACTGACGACGATCCCTGCCAGTCCTCATCTCCGTCTGCGCACACCGTGAAACAGCAGTGGGGAGTTAATGGACTGACTTAATGAGAGATTGATGGGTTTATCAATGGTTGATTAGTTGATTGATTGACTAATTGAGTAGTTCGTTGATCAAGTGAATTGATTGATTGATTGGCTGATTCATTGGGTGATTGATTGATTGATTGGTTGATTGATAGGTTGATAGGTTGATTTACAGGTTGATTAGGGGTGTGGGGTTACGGGTGAAGATGTTTGCAGTTAGTAAAATGATCGTAGGAAATCTTGGTCAATTATTCGTAATTGTCTTATTGCTGTTACGTTGCATGCAGCCGTCTAAAGCTTTGCAAACTGCCTCACACAGTGATGCTTTATGTTTTCAAAGTTGGTATCTAATCCGTCATGTTCGAAGCAATCGTTTTCAATAATCCATATTGTACTAGGTTATCTTTAGCTTTATAAAGATATATTTTATCTTTTTATGATGAACGTTGTATTAGTAGGTATGTTTAGAGGTAGATTGATTAATTGATCAATCGATCGATTGGTAGATAGATAGATATTCGATACATACGTCTATATGATGAACACACCAATATGAAGCTGCCCCTCAAAGTCTCCACTGATGTAGGGAAAGAACGCATGCGCCAGCACCCCCTGGGGGCCATCGAATGCATTAGAGTCTCCGTGCTTTCCTTTCTCATAGCTGAACCTTAAATTTAGTAAAAACGTCAGTTACATCGAGATTTGTTTGGCATTAAATATAAAAAAACACGTCTTTTCAAGTGTCACGTGAAATTTCAAGTGTCACGTCTTTTCGAGTGTCAAGTGTCAAGTGAGTTTCAAAACTCACGTTGGCATTTAAAATGAATTCAGTTTCCTCTAAGTGTCCTCTCATACTTACCTGAGGTCCTGTTTGGCATCAAATATAAATAAACACGTCTTTTCAAGGGTAGACAATAAAACACACATTGGCCTTAAAATGAATGCAGTCCTCTCTTAGTTACCTGAGGTCCGTATCGTTTCTATCCGGTTCCTCCCGGAAGGTGAATATAGGAGATCTACGCCCTCTGTTGATAGCGTTAGACCACTGGCTGAGCGCACGTCTCACGAGCGTGCGCGTGACGTCACGTGAGCGCTTGTCGTGGCCGTTGATGACGTTCCACGTGAAGTCACACTTGAACCACCAGCGGCTGAAGAACCCAGCTGAGATGGAAGACAGTCATGGATTATGAAAACTTTAGCGAAATAGTTACTATCAAGAGCTAATAATACCTTTAATAGGTATTAACCACTAATAATAGGTATTCGCTCTTGTTACTATACTAATCGAGAGAGAAGACCACGGTGTAGGCCTATAATGCGCGTGGCGCCGCTTAGATAGGGCACGCCGTAACAACTTTGCCAGGCGTAAATAAATTGATGCTTATTGCCAACTGACCTGTAAAAATCAGGGTAGTGTAGGCTGTGATATTTGTCTTTTGATTGATTGCCCACGTGTTCTGTGTTAGCAGTGAATTGTAGTATTAGCATGACCATTTTGGCTTACTGCCAACACGGTACCAGAACGCCTCCGGTTACGACTAGCATGATATTGTTAGTTGGCCTGAATTTGTTACAAGTACCCCCTTGAGTATTCGCATGTTTGACTTGTTGCCTCATTTTGCACTGACCAATTGGTCTGCCTACCACCCCAACGCTTACATTGGGGTTTTCAGGACTGACTAATAGCGGTTACGCGTATCACAGACTCATCCATTGAAATATTTATTGCCATTATTCACTCCCTCCCCACAGCATGCCCAGCCACCACCACCCCCCACTCGTCTTGCCGACGCACGCACCTCCTAAACCCTGCCTCAGCTTCGCTGATTTGATGCGCGATCGACGGTTCGACCTGTATTGCACTTTGGCAGCTATCGCAGCGCCGTCTTCCTGCAGAAAGCTGTCCTTGACGCCACACCGAGGCTCCTCCATCTTGCGCAGCGTGACGTCATCGAGCCGGCCCGTCTGTGCGATGTCCGCCATGTACTGGAAGTTGCTGCGGCGCGTAGAGCGTGTGACGTCATTAATGCGGCGCGTAGAGCGTGTGACGTCATTAATGCGGCGCGTAGAGCGTGTGACGTCATTAATGCGGCGCGTAGAGCGTGTGACGT